ACTTTTTCCAGAAATTTATCACAAAACTTTATTTCTATTCTCATGTTCATTTTCCCACAAAAAAAAAAAAAAATTACCAAAAAGTGTGTGCAGTGTTTCCAATCTCAAAGACAAATGTGCAGCTTTAGTAGTTAATCAATATTTTGAATTAAGTCTAATGTTTACACTGTAAGTGCATGCAGAAAAGCCGTTTCTGCATGGAATAATCCAATTTTATTTCCTTGATAGATATAGACGTTAATATATATCTATATTTATAGATATATAGATACTAATTTTTCATTCATGGCTTGCTTTGTAAACAGTGTAAGGTCACCACTGTGAACAATGCTACCATTCCTTCTGCCACTCCACCTGCAAGCCAGACACCTTTTCACACCAGCTCCTCTACAAGTCCCCATATATCCAGGCTGTTTCTAAATCTTGTCAAATCTTTCTCCAGGGCACGTGTAGCATACAGTCCTTCCTGCCTATCCCACCCATGTAAGCTCCCACGAACTTGCTTCTTGGTTACTGCATAACTCCTTTTCTCTGATGTTCAAAAAACGGGATGTGTCCTAGCCACAATTGTCATGACCGATTTTGTTGGTTTTGTAGGCTATCACTTCGGTCACATCACTCCTCTCGTAGCATCACTCTTCCCTTATTTATGGCATCAAGAATAAGCTATTTCCATTTTCAAGAAAGTTTCAAGTTCTCTAACGAACTACTCGGTTCTTTCACCAGTAAAATGCCAGTTTTTACTCTCTTCTGATTCAGCGTATGTCTCCCATTTCAATTTTCTACCTAAACTTTCTCACACGTCACCACTTACAACTTGAAAAGCTGTCCCATAAACATCCACAGAGCTACCTGATGGCATTCCTTAGAAGTCTTCCTTAAAAGACTGCTTTTACTCTACTGTCTAGAAAGACAAGGACACGAAACTCCTGTTGTGCTTAACTTCTTGCCTATTGCCCAGGTTAATGTTTTTTCACTCTCTCCCTCTATTTCCCCAGCTCTGCTTTTGCTTTTCAGTTTGTAGTGAATGCAATCTAAAGATATGTATTGTATCTCTTGGATGCTCTGTTAATTAAACCAGTTAAAAAAAAAAAATAAATTAGCAGTCTTATTGACGTCTACCTTGCAGTTTTAGCATTGCACAAACTTGGTAATTTAACATGACAGACAGATACTTCAGAGGAGTAATATTAACAGATCAGAATTTGAACATCAGTCTTCATGTTTCTATAAAAATATTAATAACGCATTCCCTATTATTAACTACCACTCCTCAACCCTGGAAAAAAACAAACTGAAAAGCTGCCAAAAACGGACTCTCTCTAGCTTATGACTTGTCCAGCATCTTCAACCCCACCTTTAAGATATTAAGAGTTTCAAATTTTCAAGCTCATGTTTGAGAAGGCCAAAGTACTGTATACAAACTTCTACATCCGTGAAATAAGAAATCCATTCTGTATCCAAAGGAAACTTGGAGTTGACTGTGTGAAATAAAGTCCTGCATATGGTCATATCTTCACTTGGACTTTATTTTGCATGGCTTCATAACTTCTGCTTATTTCCTTTAATAATTTTTAAAATACATACCAAGTCAACATGAGATGGTCCAAGAGCAAATAAAAAAAAGATTTATTTTTAATCCTGAGAGATATTCTGTACTAGCACCGTGTAGTTGGACAGAAAATGAAGCACAATTTTTTTTTACCTCTCTGCAAGTGTTTGCTGTTCATTGATTCCAACATTAAAGAGTACTGGATACATGCGAAGTAGCTTTCCTTCTTTAATCTCTTGTGGCAGCAACTCAAACATCTTTGCTGGAAGCTGGACCTCTATAATGTAATGTTCACTAGGAAAAATAAAAAGAAGAATAAGGATGGGAATATTGATTGTTTTGCTTGAAATTACAACCTTCCTAAATTATGGAGAACATGTAGACTTATAAATCAGTTTCCCCCTTTTCCCCTTAGTTGTATTGAACCATAAAATGTGACAATTCAGTTTGCTTGTTTTAAGAGCATAACCAAGTTATATGGAAAAAAGCAGGTATATATAATTATACGATCTTGATACTGACTTCTTTACTGAAGAGAAAATAGGACTAAAGATGAAAGCAGTAAAAAAGTCTTCTGCTACCAAAATATCCGTGAGAACACCTCAACTCTTAAAATGCATCTTGCTGAGTTACAAAACCAACTTCCTTTCAGAAGTCACAACTTGGTCCTGTATCCACTCTAAATGCAATATGAGCAAAAATCTTTAACAAAAACCCAAAGAAAAATTCCCATTTTCTTCAGTGGCTGGATTTTCTCCCTGGGGATAGAAAGCATCACCAATAACAAAATTGCCTCTGTGAAGATAATAATTGAAGGCTCATTACACAAACATGAATCCTATTTTAAGAGAAGGGATATGGTATATAGCAGTTCTGTTTTTATTTTTCTGTCTGGTCTGACTTTATGAAAAACATGTTGCTTTGGCTGCCAGTCCAAATTCTGCTCATGTGGAACCCTCAAGCTGAATTTCACCTGTCTTTGAGGATTGGCGCCTGGCCCCACAACAGAAACAATGGCATGCTGCTAACTTCGTTTTCATTTGCTTTCTTTCTATTATTAGAGCAACCAGTCTAATAAAAAAAGAATGGGCTAGAAACAAATCCATTTGTCTCCAGGATTTGGCATTTTTATAATTCAAAGAGGGCCAACTGATAATGAAGACAGAAATTTTCTCTTCTGCAGAGCACATTTGGTATGCTACCAAGAAGGAAGAGTCTTACAGCAATAGGAGGGGAGAAGGGTCTATGTCCTACCTACAAAAACCAGGCCTAGGAAGTTGCACAACTTTTGTATATAAAATTAAGATGGAGAACTGATTGCACCTATTAAAATAATCTATCTTGAAGTCCCTCCGGCCCTTCTTCGAATCAATCATGAGCTTGCTAAAGAATTAAAATACAATCTGAATTACCCACATGTAGCATTTGGGGGAGAAAAGGCAGAAAACCTTGAAGAAAAAGGGTAGTTTCTGCAGTAGCTCTGACACCCTTGGCGAGCCAGAGGGATGAGTGGCACTATCTCACAGGAGGTGTTTAGATAAACAGCTTCAGCTTAGAAGAGCTAGTGGTTGTGTCTGAACCTCTATCCTGCCCATATAACCAAGAACAAAATAAAGTGGATCCAGTACAGACTTGTGACTGAAATGTAATTACATTCAGCTAGGGCAAGAGCATATGCTTTGGTACGGGCTAGAACTGGTGTGTAATCTTGGAGTAAACACCATATGCTCCCTACTGAGGGGGCTTATCAGTTTTGAACGGAGGATACATCTCAGAGGTGGAGGGAAAAATAAAGAAATAGTTCTGCTCCCCAGATAAGTCTATTTGGTTTGTGGTTTTGTGTAATTAATTCACCCACGTGAAGGAAATAGAGAGTTAGCGAGGATGACAGCAAAGAACTCGGTTCAAATGATCTTTGCATAGCAGCATTCATTCGCAGCCTGCATGTGAGCACTCCTCGCTGCTGTCAAGGGCTACCACGACATTTTTATGTCATGGAGTGCTTTCACGTGGTTAAGAAGAAATGTTGGTTTAGTCTAATTCAAAGAGCATACGCCACTGAAACAAAATGCCACCAAATCACTGCATCGCTACGTTTCACACTCCCAAAATCACTACACATCTTTCAGTGTGCGAAAGAACATTGAGAAATGCTGACCTTAATGCATGATAAATTAACATCAGTACCATTTGAGAGCTTCCCCTTGTCCATTTTTTTTTTCTTTTTCATAACATTTTTTGAAGTGGCAGAGATAATCCTTGGTAACTTTTAAAAATCTGTAAGCCATTGCAATGTGAAAATAACCCCCTTCTGATCATGCAAGGAACAGGCTACCAAGCTGTGACATGGAGCTGTCTAGAAAATCCAGGAATGGTACTGAAGTCAGGTGGCGGGGGGGAGGAAAAAAAGAAAAATAATTCAAAGTACTGAAATCTGGAGGACTTGTTTGACATTAATTTACCCAAAATCTTACAGGTCCTATGCTTCTACTTAAACAAGAAACTAATGCAGCAGTAAATTTTATCACCATGCAGCTTCTCTCTTTTATGGCTAGACTCAGATACTAGGTGATTTTGGCATGAGATGGATAAAAGAGCTACTACATTTTCCAATGAGAAGGAAAAATCAGTCCATAATTTTTAACATTTAATGATCTCTCAGGAAAACAGGGTGGAGAGATCCAGTATGTTTAAGAGAGTAAATAATAAATCATCATCTCCTTCAGAACGAATTGTATAAATTTAGGGATTAAATATTTAAATGTATATGATTTTGTTAAAACAGGACTGCTTAAGAATATCCCTTTGACTTTATTTGCCTTATTCTCTAATTTTTGTTATCATCACATATGAAGATAGCAAACACAGCTGGGTGGTGCTTTACCCAGCTCTTTCAGCCCTAGTGACAACTTTTTAGATCACTTCAATGTGGCTGTAAGTGCTAGTCCGATCGTGGGCTTTGTTGAAAACATGGTATCAAAACCTGTGATGCCTCCAAGTTCATGTGCACGATCAAATACATTCTGTCAAAGAATTTTATAAAAGTAAGTGTTAAATAGTTTTGCCTATATTAAAAGAACTTGAGTGCCTGAACAGAACTTCACTTCACCAGCCACCCACATCAGCAGGTCAGCGCACTGCTAGTCAATGCCACGCTCTTTGGACTGATTTGTTTGCGTACATGGAATCTCAGTCTTAAGCATTTCCCTAAAAAAACAATTACAAGTGAATACTCTGACACTGCAGGATAAGAATTTGTAGCTTAATTTTCTGTCTTGCATTTCTTCAGTCTTTTAGTCTCATTTTATTGAGCCACCCCGTATAACAACCCAAATGATCTAAAAATTGTGGGTTCTTAAACATTAATTAGAAAATAACTAGGTTTTCTACTGTCTTCTCTTTTTTATGGTTGACTTCCAATGCTGTCTGATAGGAGCTGTCCCATCACTGGTCTAACAGGAATGGTGCTCCTCCACATAAGCCTTAAAGATTTTTTTTTATTTTTTTTTCCTGATACCAGTTCCATGGAGTGAATACCTGCCAGTAAGTACAGTACAGCAATCACAGGCAGTAACTCTTCTTCCTAAAGACTGACTACTCCATCAATCCAGAATGCCTGAGGCAGCCTAAAGCTCGAATCTCTTTCAAGCGAGGACCTCCTAGTGTGACACTTCAGTGTATCGCAGTAATGGCAGCAAGTCAGTAAATGCAGCTGCCGCATTTTTTTAAGATTTTTGACTGCTGTGATTTACAAAGGATGTATTTCTTTGTTTTATCTACACATCATAATTATTCTTAATTATTCCCACTGTGTTGCCTATCATAATCTGGCCTTCCTGCTATTTATTTCAATCATTTCTTGGAAAGCCCATAGGATGATAGTGAATCATCCAGAATAATTAAGTAAATCAGTAGTGAAAGCCCCCTTCAGAGGAAACATATTTCTTCTAAAAGTTGCTGCTTTTAGCTGAATTTAATTTACAGTCATCTTAAGAATAACGATACTATTAAGGAAGTGATTTCTGCAAAAGTAAAAACATTTGGAGCTTTAGACTAGAATAATAAAGAAGATGAAAAACCCATTCCTCCTGTGTAACAATCTTGTTAACCCTTTTATAGCCACAATTAATTATTTCCAGTTTATGTCCTTGTATTCAGCAGTGCTTATGTGAGATGCATAATGCATTAGTGGCTTTATTCAAGGATTTCTGAGGTTGCATATGTCCTATGTGATCTTCAGCAACTAGATAGGCTTCATTTTTCAAAAGTGACCACTAAGTTTTGGCATCCGAGTTTTTCAGTTTCCATCTTAAAACAATCAAGGCCTAACTCTTAGAAATGCAATTTCATTTGTCACATTGAAATATAAGTTCTGGACACCTCAAAAACAAGGTTTCTTCAGTTAGAGGCCACTTTTGTAAATATTGACCTTGTCACTTCTCTTTGATTTAGTATCGATATATCAACAATGCAACAGAAACTCTGCACAACCCAGACACTGTTTTGATTAATTGGTATTAATAATTGGAACTTTTAGATTTTCATCAGGAAAGTAACCCAGAGTTCCTATTACTACTAGCTTTACAAATCCCTACTACCTCATTACATCTCCATTTACCTCATGAAAAGTAAAACTACTGCACTTCCCATAGAACAGAATTCAGCAACAAGAAAACCAGTATCCGGGTTTTTATGTGCTACAGATTAAAACTACATGCCATGGCCTCCAGGAAACAAAGTTCTTACCGCCTTCCAGTTATAATAGGCAAAAAATCTTCTGATTTGGCTTCAATGACTTTAAACATCACTTTCTGCAAATCTGAAATTCCCACAGCCATGTCTTCTAGCATCCCTGCTTCTTCACCTATACGGAAAGATTACAGAGGTTATTAACAGAGTAGACAGATCAGTCACTGAATAGGTTACTGTAAAGCAATATGGGGATTATAGTTTCCAGCTTGTGCATCTGAAAATCACAGCTCTAAATCCACATTAAAGTAACCTACATAAAAGCAGACTGATTTTTAGAACTGCTGACAATTCTCTGTGGCCTAAATGATGAGTATTAAGCACCTCTGAAAAATCAGTCTGCTCTATATGCGCATAGAATAACCTTAGAAAAGCCATTTTTGTCTATTCAGAAAGTGTTTTTAAAGACTGTCCTGCTGATGGAGGACAAAGGTTTTGAGAATAACAATGAGTATCACGCAAAAGGGAGCCTGACAGCAATCTCCAAGCAAGGATCTGCAATTGCTTGTGCTTTAAAGAGCTGCACAAATACTAAATCCCTCTACTTTGAGCAAAATCTCTAATTTGGGGAAGGATTCTAATATATGTAGCTCAAAGCATTTTGAAACATACGGGAGTTTCTCCCTCCAAGTGTCTTTTTTAATACCTATCAAATGATGGCATCTGTAACAAGCTAGGAATTAAACAGTTTTCAAGCTATCTTCACATCACCAATACTGGCGTGGTCAGGGCAGAGGTCGATAGAGTCAGTAACTTTAAATCTGCTGTTTGGGTTCGCTTTATAAACCTGCTATTTTAGGCCAGGCCAGATGCCTACTCAAATGGAGATACTGTTATTAAAAGTTCCACTAGCTGCACTGAGGAAGGAGTCTCCTGTATTTAAGACAATGTATTTCAGCACTCTGTGTGGAATAATTAGCAAATAGTGTTCTCAAAGGAATTGAGAATAAAATAAATGAGTAATTTTTGAAGCAGAATTGGCAACATAGTATCAATGACTTCAACTGTGCAATTATATGGAACCTTACTGTCTCCTAAGGATAATATTTGTTGATTCAATAAGCCAAATTACTAGAAGCAGAAGAGAGGTTAAAATAAGAACCTCCTGGGTAAACTTCTGGTCTGGATGCATAAGGAACTTTGTCCAAGAACAATACTTACTATACGTACTAAGGAGTCCTTCATATTGCACAAGTAATCCAACAGTATGAAGCTGTTGTAAAAATCCTTGATCATGTAAACTTGTGTGTAATTTGATTATAAACCCACAGACCAATCCAGCAAGCTACAAAGACAATGAAAAAATGTGAAATTAACAGATGTACTGTTATAACATAGTTAAAAAGAGGCTTGCTATCATTATACACAACAGAAGTAATATTTAGATGTTTGAGAAAACAGCATGGATATTTCTGTTTAGTGAATTTCTGTTTACTACATACATAATTTCATATTAACACATTATTGAGGCATTTCTTGGTGTAAAAAGCAGTGGAATATTCTCTTATTTTACATTAGATAAGCTTCATTTATTTTGTGGGGTTGTGTGTTATTTATGCTGATGTAAGCGAGACTTGAACCTCCGTTGGCAGGCTACAAGCACATAAAGCTGTGAATTATGATGGATTTGAAAGCAGTTAGGCACCTAATGCAACTGAATCTCCTTGGCAGTTGCACCCTAACTCCTTAATTATATTAGGAAAAACGTATAACTTAAGGGAGAAGTTAGACAAATCATTTGGACAAAAATCTATTTGGAAAACATGATCTACAGGAGAAGAACAAAAGAACTTCAATTATTTACCAGGAGAAGACAAGTCTGAGAAGAGACACGCTAATAGTCTTCAAACGCATAAAATACTGCTACAAACTGAAAACAAGTAATCTGCTCTTCATTTCCAAGGTGACCAGGAGAAAAAAAATCCAAACCTAGCTTGAATGGCAGCAAGGAATATTCAAGGGTAGACTTGAGAACTTCACCTCTAGGTGAGGATACTGGCATATAATCTAGGAAGACTAAAAATGGTCTTATGGATCCTTCTTTGTGCAAAAGGGAGATTAGGTAACCTTTTCTAGTCCACTGCAGACCTACTTCTCTGACTCAGTGATGCAGTTGCTATGGATTTCCATTTACTATTTATAAAATATTTAAGTGGATGTAATGGAAAATATATGAAAAAGTTGTGTTAAATTGGAAAAAGGAAAACAAAAAACACAAAGATAAACACAAACACTGGCACGAATAGCATGATAATTATAGCAACAGTAAGAGATAAGTGACACAAGACAACCTACTGCTTGACTAAAGACGATGTCTCTTCTTAGGGTCAGCATCAAACATTGTGGCAAACCACAGGCAAGTTCCTGGAGCAGAACAAACGCCATCGATTGCTTCGCCCTGGTCACCACCTCTCCCATGCAGTCCTTCAGCGTAATCACCAGGGGATAAAGCTGTTCATACCAGTCACCTAGAACAAGACAGATCATCCATTCCAAAATGGAAAACTTGCAGTGAAAATCCTTTTCAGAATGGAAAGAGGGCTGCAGTGGCTGCATAGATCATCCTACACTTTAAAACGGCCCTGCAGCTCTATGCTAACCATTGTGGTACAGCAACCACCACCGGAGAATATGCTTAGAGGTAGGACTCCAGCTTACCACTGAGACTGGGGCTAAATCCTTGGCCTGAATCCAATCCATCTTGAAACAATGACTTTTTTAACAGTCTTAACTTCTCTGTAAAACTTGCAGTGAAGCGTCATAAACAGAGCATACAATGATAACATGTGAAAACTCATTCACGACAAGATGAACACAGCGGAGATGAAGATTTCCTGTTCTTTCCAGCACTGACAACTTGCTATGTAAACAAATGAAGTACCATCAAAAAAAAGAAAAAAAAAAAAGGTGAAAAGCCTATATGTAAGAAAAAGTGGGTGCTGGAAGGCAAAACAGAAGAACAAACATACCTGGAAGGATATTATCTGTTTAACGTAAAAAAAAAGGTGAAAAGCCTATATGTAAGAAAAAGTGGGTGCTGGAAGGCAAAACAGAAGAACAAACAGATACCTGGAAGGATATTATCTATTTAACGTATAGGCTGGAAAAATACTAACCTTTTGGTCACATTCCTTTTTCTTTTTAGCTTCTCTCTATATTGCTCTCGTTAAATATTTAGAGATATTGAACTCATTATTTTTTTATTATCTTCAAGAAGAGAGATTTAAAACTAAGTTATAATATGTTTTGCTCTGTTAAAATATATGCTAGGAACATCAGAAAAAACAAGCTAGTGAAATGCTTGAAAAATGGGATTCCTTAATACATTACAAATGAAACAGAGTGATAACTAGGAATGGAGGAAAATCAGAACAGCTTACTCAAACTTGCCTAGTTACCCAAGTTGTTCCTGAATTTTTCAGGATTTAACAAAATTAGATCTGCATTGTAGTTACATACGGTTTTGCCTACCCCTCTAAGTTGAGCAGATAATAATACTAAAAAGGCACTCTCCTTCAGAATCTGCATCTCAGTTTCATTGTTAGAGTTGAAAATGAAAAAGAAATCAACATCCCAGAAGAATCTATATAAAAATTTGGACTGTAACTGACTTAATACAGTCCATCACAGACTCATATTTTCTGTAGATTAGCATAATTAAGAATCAATGATAATTAAAATCTGTTCCATTTAAACTGTAATTAAGTGGAAGATAACAGCATGTTGTTTCAGGTAACATTCTGAGTCAGGCCAACGAAAGACTCATTAGTACTGAAGAAGTTCTTTAGGCAGGAAGACATAGCTGCCTGTTGCAAAGTCAATTTGGCTATGCTCCAGAAAAACATGTAAATGAATAAAACTGTAGCCAAGAAGACTGGAGAGAACTTTGAAAGCCAGGAGAAACTGCAAAATAATAAGGCATAGGAAAGAGGAAATAGGAACAAGAACAGAGCAACCACAGAGAACAACTTGGGTTCCTTTGCAAATACTGTCTTTGTGGTCAGACGACGTCTGTTTTAACACAGTCATACATATTTAAGTGAGAGTAATACAGACTGAAGAACCATTCCCTGGAAAACAGCAGTTATGAAGTTAGAGCCATCGTGAACAAAACAGAACATAAGCCATCCCCAGTTTCACACTCCGGCAAAAAGAGGTGATTTTATACATGCCATTGACTTCAGAGGGTACTGATGCACAGCGTGCCAAGGTCTGCTGTACACGTTTTAAAGAGACTGCTGAAAAAAATGGAAAGCTTGCAGAGGAGAGCTATCAAGATTTAGAGTTTAATCTCCTTAAGCCTACGAAAAAGGTTGAGCAGCAACTTGATTTCCCCTCTTCATGAGGGGAAAATAACAAGTACTAATGGAGATATTTATTCTAGGGAATAAAAGCAAAAGACCAACCAAAAGCCGGAGGCAGAGTCAAATTTAGAAATAAGGTAGACAACAAGGTGTAACATACTGGAAGTCAGACTAGACAGACCAGACAATCTAAACTCTCCTTTCAAGTCTTAAATTATATTAATTTATTAAATTAATCAATAAATAAATGCCAAGGAAAGCAACTGCGGCAGAATAAGATCAAAAGGTGTAATGCATACTAAACGAATGAACAAGGCTGTATGTGATAAGAATAGAATTTGTTGTCTGCTTCCAACCTGAGCAAATAATGAAAAAGATCATACCTAGCCACTTTAAAGGAGGCCTGAAGATACAGCTCATAGACATCTGCTCCACTTTCATGGGAAAGCAGAGCTGGATACAGGCACAGCCAAGGATCTTGCAAGTACACTGACAGCCAGGGCAAGAGAGAAAAAGCTGAATTTCTAGAACTGTGAACCTGCTATTACTATGTCAGGTTGTGTGAATAGGGCTAAAGAGCTTTACTGACACTCTTTTTCTTAAAAGAGGGGGTCACGTACTGGCCACAAGTCACATAACACTTACATCTGTTTCTGCTGAACTGCCACTTAACCAGTCAATCTGCGCTGTGTATTCCTGCTTCTTTAGGAACATAACTTTCTACTTGTCCTTACTGAACTGCATCCTAATATTTCAGTGCTCCATTTCATCAAGATCCATTCTAATCCTGCCCCCGTGGTGCTTAAAGCCTCTCCCAGCTTTAAGCATCTGCAAATTTTATAAGCATCATCCATATTTCATAAGCCAAGTCAGTAATGAAAATATTGAATAATACTGGACCCAGAATAAATTTTTAAGGAGATTCTACTTCATGCAGCCTTCCAGGTTGGCAGTAAACAACTGATAACTACCTTCTATTATGATTTTCCAAATTATTTTGCACATAACTTGTAGTAGCTTCCAGACCATTTTCTCACAAGGATTTTTTTGGGGAGACTACGTGTTTCGAATACTAACTTACTAACAAAAGTAATTTTTGTCAGTAATATTTGCATTAAGAAGGAATTAAAAGGTTTGAAATTCTCAAGGTCATTTTTTCATTAAAGGATGTCCATGCTAAATATATTAAAAATAAATCTTACTGAGTATTTCATGTCCTAACGAATACAGAGCTTTACTTACATACATATTTTGCTTTGTGGAGAACAATAAAAATTGTAAGTTTGTAGGAAACCTTACCCTAATGACTGAGGAAAGATAAATTATTTTATTATAGAATATAAATGGAATTGTACTTGCCAAAAGGAAAGAAGACAAAACTATACCCTCATGTGATTAAGTTACCCGTAACAATCACCTACTCCTTGCTCACACTGAAAATTCTTGTTAACAATTCCCAAGGATGTCCGATCCCCAGAAGGTGGAGCTAGTTCACAAATCTAAGAGAGGGATTACATTGTTTCTTAAAAACAGAATATTTGTGAATGGACTAGAATATTCTCACGTTTATCCTTTTATTTTAAAGCAAGTTCAGTGTCTTACAACCAAAATGAGAGGCGTATTACAGACTGAGGTCTCAGAAAAGACAACTCTAGGAAAAAAAGACAATCTATATAGCTGCTCAATCTTTGGTCTGTTAAAATTGCCATATGTCACTTGTTATGCTGGATTATCCGGTTGCAAATACTCCAGCAAGAAAATATCAATTAACAATTCAGAAAGCTCCAAATATCCATCAGAAGCAGGTACTTACAGCAAATACTGCAGCTTTTAAGTTGCTCCTTGAAACTGAGAGCACTGTAAAACTGAAGTTTATGAAACAAAAAAACACCCTTGTATTTTGAACTTCCAAGTAAACTCAGTAGAATTTGGAAAATAAAATTGTCTCGTATGCAAGGGATAAACATGGAATATTAATAAAATTCATAAGGAGATACTATTTGTAAAGGGAGCTTTAAAATCCTGGTCTAAATACAGGTGTAGATTATCCTGATCTAACTTACCATATCGTTGTTGTTATGTGAGGATACCGCTTGGTTACGAGCTACTGCTTACACATCTGAAAGAGTTTGGAGAGAGATGCAAGATGCCCTGAGAAAACTGGCAGGCAGCTCCGAGTCAGTTGTTGCTGTAAAGAAGACGCAGGGGGCCAACCATGGCTCAGGACCTCTACTCCTACACAGACTGATGATTGCTTTGTAGAATCACTTAGGGAAGGAAATGCTACAAATTATTACTTTTGTGTTTGACACATTCAAGGACTTAGGCACATTGTTGAACTTTCAGGTGTCAAATTTCTTTTAAGTTAAAATTGCAAGATTTGCATCCTCAACACAGTGGAGAATCCTTTGAAAAAGACTGAAGAATTAACTGATTGAGTAAACACCTCAAAAAAGACATTAGGAGCAAGAACAAAAGCAACAAGGAGACTACAGGGTGACAGTCAGGTGGCTAAAATGACGAGGGCAGCCTGTCTTGTTTGGAATCTCTAGCATCCAAACAAAAGAGTCAAAACCTACCGATGAAGCAAGGAAACTCGATTCAAAAATTGTGCTAGTCAGCCGTTGGAAAGGAAACTAAAACAAGGCATAAAAGCCAAACATGTTAAAATGGAAAATGGAAGGATGAAATTAAAAGAAGTAGTACCACCACTATGCAGTTAGTGTAAGATTAAAACAAAAGAGAATGTGCAGCAAAGCACTGAGTAAATACTCCACCTCCACTGCTAACAGAGTTGTGGAAGTTCAGTTTATGACAGGATTTGCCTTTTGGTTGCTGGAAAACGCCCTTCAGTCCCAAGTTCTCTTAATCAACACAGCTGCACCGGCAAATGACCTGTTAACACCCAACTAGTCATTTCTACATGCTAATATTCAAGTTGCAGCATGTCAAACTGCATGTTTAATTTGATAAAGTTTGGCAGAAAAGCAAGCTCCTGCTCTTTCTCAAAGTCAGGCCATTGAAGTGCTTATTAAATGTGCTGATAATCAACCAGGGAAGGCTCTAAGGCTTTGGAATTGCACCCCTATCTCCTTTTGCCCTGGCAACAGAGAAAAAAAAAGCCAATTCTGTCACTGCTGTCTGCACCACCTAAAAATCAGCAG